GTTGGTTCTGGTTTATCAGGGCATGAACATCTTTCTGCAGGCTGGTTCAATCAGGACATGGGGAACAGCTGGTTAACAAGGCCCTGTTGGGGCTATTGTAAGATATGCAAAACCAGCAATCCAGCTGAGACAGGCTCAGCACAGTGCTTACCAAGCAGAGACACGACTCACCAGGCTTCACCTGGGAGAGTTATTATTGCCTGGATGGGTCATGGGAGTGCTTGTCCATCTAGCCACCAGGGGAAAAAAACAGAAATGCACCCCCCCCCCCACCTCCTGGGGTTTGGCAAGCTACTGCTGTAAAACGGTGCTAACAATGAGCAGGATTTTCTACTCAGACTCCCCCAGTCCCTCTTGGCCCTGTCCCTTTCCCTACAAAGAGCTGCGCGTCTAAGAATAACATTTAGATTCCTGGTCTGAAAAACACCAGAGCAAAGACAGACTTTGACACCTAAGCATTTAAACCTACTATTTTGCTTGGCACTTACATTGACCTCAGAGTGCTCTACAGGGACCACTTTTATTTCAACGCTTTAACACCTTCGTGCCTCAGTTTGCCTTTGTGTAATATTGGGGGGAGAGCGGCTGTGGAAAAAAATAAATCAGCTGGACCAGTGAAGGCAAGTTTATAACTCTTAACAGTGCCCTGTCCCTGGGAGGTGAAGAAATTACGGAGGAGAACAAGGCCAGGGTGCCAGACTGTGCCAGACAGGTTCCCAACTCTGCTACTGGTTTGGTGGGTCACTCACCCAAAATAGTCAGTTTTCTTCCCCCGTCTCAGAATCCACATCTGCAAAAGGGGTGCGGCTCAGACCTCCTTGCTTTTCAGCTCTCCTGCTGGGACATGCTGCCTAAGTAGGAAAATAGGACCAGAGAGCTTTCCTGAAAACTCCAGAAAGCCAGGAGTAAGTGAATGCACACAGGATGTTGTGTGGTTAACCTCCAACACCTCCTCAAAAGAGGACTCCGAGTTAAAGCTTCTACCAAAAGAAAAATTACAGATCAAATAAAACTATCTGGGAATAGAGCAGCTTATGAAAGTGTCAGCATTCCCATACAGTGTCTTGTTGCAGTGGAGATAACCAGAGCCTCCAATGCCTAAAGCTGTATTTTTATCATGGGTGCTAGTGAGTCATGGTGGCACCTGAAAATGTGGATCAAAATACACCCTTGTCTCATGCTGATGAATGCAGTTAGGTCATTCAGAGGGTGGTCACCACACTTAAATGCAGCCTTTGAACCTACATGACTCTTCAGCTCATCAGCAACTGAATAGGGCCACCACTCCTTTTTAAAAAGCCAGTCCACAGACTAATGGAGGGGTGACTTTAAAAAGTGCCTTTGACACATGCCTCTCTGCCACAAATTATTTCAGCCCTTAAAAAGAGGTGTTGATGGACTAAAATGAAAAATGAGACCCAACCAATTTCTCTGCACTTCAGGGAGCAGTAGGTGAAGTATTTAAAACAGGGGCTATTTGTGCTTAGGCTCATACTTTGGTTACTTTGATGTACAGCAAGGACCATCGTTGGTATTCGTACAACATTCCCAGGGCAGGACAAGGGATTTTAAGTGCTACTGCAGCAGGGGACAAGCCCATTTGGAATCAACAAAAAGATTTTAATAGTATTTGGATTAAAAGCAACAGAATTATCATGAGTGATTTCAATTTGGATCAGAGCTTCAGATACAAATGCATTGTTTCCTGTTGGGTTTTCCAGCTCATGCCATTAGATTTCCTTGGAAGATCTGTTCTCTGAGTACAGTATGGTGAAGTGCCCTTTTACCCAGTGACTAAGAGTTTAGAAAACACAGGAACAAGACTCAGACGGAGGTGTCCTTTGTACTTCCCAGGCTGAGTGGGGCTTACAGTGAGTCAGCCTGGGCTGCAGATTCTCCAAGATGGGATTGAATGCTGCAGTCCAGCAACTTCTCTGCTCCTTTCTGTGAGGGCCTCACTGCTTTGTCTATTTGTGCTGTGAATTGGGATGGCCTGGGCAGCGCGTAACCCTTACATAAATGAGAACGAGAGGCATCATTACAAGTGAAAATGTTAGTAAACAGTACAGGCAGTCATACAGGTAAGGAAACCAGTGGCTCAACCAAAGCTACCAACCTCAAATGGAGTCGTCATAGACTTTGAACCAACCCAAGCACTTAGCTGACTTGGGGTCAGGCTATTATTATGGTCACCATCATCATTACCTATGCACCATGTTATGTGTCCTTTTGAACCTCTGCCTCAAGTGTGAGCTTTGAGTCATTGCGCATGGGTGGGGGAAATCCAAGCTTCAGAGATCAAGCAATTATTTGGAGCAAGAGGTTTAGGTGAGGCTCCAAAACATTTATTTGTTTGGCAAACCTACAGCAGTAGTCAGAGCTTCCCTGGAGAAGCATGGTTTTCTTTAAGCTGCTACATTTTTATTAAAGTAACAAAAGTGTACATTTGTCAAAGTATCTGTACATTTTTATATAAAAACACTACTGTACAATGTCTCCCCTCCCCCTTCCAAAAAATAGCTTACAAACTTTCTACCATTTTTCACCAAATACAAAAGCAGGTCCCGCTCAACAGTCCAGCTCAGTTTAAAAAAACAAAAAAAAACAAAAAAAACCCCAAAAACCCAACACACATTCTTTGATAAACAGTTTTTCATGTCTGTGACTGGTTCGGTCAGGATTGTAGTCAAAAGGCAAGACAGAACACATTAATTCACAGCTTTTACATGTAACAAAATACAATAACGAATTCATGCCCTCCAAATACGCCTGGTTTTAAAGCAAACAAAACTTTGACACTAAACACCCTGCCAGGGACAACAGCATGAGATTTGATGAGTGTGTGCGTGTGTGTGTGTAGGGTTTTTTTTTTTCTCCTTTTCTTTTTGTTTTTAAATAGGGGTCATGATTGGGTGGGAATTCCAATATTTCCCCCCAGAAGCACCTTTTTGGTAGGAGGGAGGGGATAGAGTATAAAGATGTCTTAAAAAAAAAAAAAAAAGAAAGAAAAAGAAAAAGACATATATGCATTGGATCATGCCAAACTGACAAACCAAGCAAGTACCAGCATTTGGGAAAGTCTGAGTGCAAGCAGGGAGTGTAGCATAGCAAACCTGCGTTTGTCTTGGGCTGTTGACGGTTCTCACTCATATCATTAATTTTTGAGATGCCAGATGAGACACAAAGCTCCCAGAGAGCACTATGAACTGCGACTTTCCTTGAAAGGGGAATTTACAGTGCAGGTTTCCAAATATTCCCCCCTCAGTGTGATGCCAAATATTGCACAATTATGCTAACGGAAAAGCAACACCTTTTAGCTTGCAGAAGGCCCCAGTTCTTTATTCTAACTTCTGCTTTGCTGCATTTGTTGACTACATGATGCAGAGCTGGGGGTGTTGCAACTTCAGATTTACAGTTGGTTATTAAAGTGTATTATTATTATTATTATGCTGCTTGGGGATAAACAAAGGCCATTAGGCACCTTTCAATGACACGCCATTAGGATGCTCAGTTTTCCAGTTGAGGAACTCAATCCCTACAGAAATCTGAACCCAGATTTCCACATGGAAAGTGATTTCCTTTTTAAAAGGTTAAGAAGAGAGAAAGAAAGGAGGGAGGGGTGGGGGAAAACTGTTGCAAAGAACCTTCCTTCCTCTCCCAGAGTGCCCAAGATTTGGAAATACATATTGCACAAGGTCTGAGAACTTGATTCATAGAAGGCTGGGAAGGAACAGCTCTGATTATGCAAGTCAGCTGCCAGTTTAAAACAGCAAGAAGGCGAAGAAAAAAAAAAAAAAAAAAAAAATCCTTCTGAAAACGCATTTCATTAAAGAGTGCCTTGCCTTTTTCAACTGGTTCGCAAAGAGCCATGGGCAGCATTGTCAGGAGGTCAAGAGAAAGGCAGTGAATTGGGTAGTCTTGGTAGAAGTGTATTCCCCATCAGGTAGGTAAGATCACAACGACCCGGCACTTTCAGTTCCTCAACTCACAGTTCAGCTGATTACAAAACAAGGGCCAAACCCCTGAACATGGTATTCAGGCAAAAATCCCCTCAATTTCAAGTATCCTTTGACTTCATCTGGAATTTTGCATGAATCCACTAGTTCAGGATCAGGCATTAAGTGTGCAAAGAGACCAAAAACTAATAATGGGCATGTGCTGGAAAAAGATAGCTCAATATGTTAGATGCTAGGGGTGGGGCAAAAACTGATTTAGAAGTCAGAAACTATGCCACAAAGAAATGCTCAGGCTTATTTTGGGGGGAAATCCAAGGTGTGTATGGGGGAAAATGATTAGCCTCCTTTATCAACAGAGTAGGCAACTCTCAAAATCAAGGCTAGAATGAACACTTGGGAGTCATGACATCCCAATCAACTCAGTGGGGTCACTGTTGGAGATCATCTTTCAACCCCAGAAGGCATACTAGCCTTTTAATTAACAGTTGCTCAGCGCTTACTCCATAGTTAAGAAATACTTCTAAGGAAGTGCTGTGCTACTTCCTGCCCTCTACCCACTTGTGCTTCCCTGACACAGCCAGCCCATCAAAATTGTCATCCAACACTAATTAGGTAGATATCAGCTTCATAATATCAATTCAAAGCTTGCAACAGCTTCTGGGAAAAAAAGGCACCTAATACTGCTTCCCCACAGAGCAGTTTCTGATATTTAAATTTTGGATTTTCTTGGTTTTTCTTAAAAAATATAAATAGCTCTTCATTTAAAAATAGATCCTCAGGTGAGGTATTACAGTAGCCCATATCTTGGCAGTGTAAGGACAAGTGGAGCATTTAGCTGGAGACAGTCATCATGTAGTTTTTGGAAGGGCTGGTGCGACCCAGCATCATTTGGTTTTTGCAGGTGAGCATCCCATAGGAGCTCACGGGTTTTGTTGCCGTTGCTTCGTACAAAACGCAGATGGAGCCGTCCTCACCAATCCGGTACGACACCTCGTACGGGTCTACCCAGAGCGTGAGCTCGCTGGGGAGGAGCTGGTAGAGCTGCTGAAGGTTGAGTCCGATCTGGCTAGCTGCCTTGCTGATAATGGGGTCCATTTTGTGGTTGATCCGAATGCAGCGATACCCAGAGCCTTTGAAAGGCTTTTCTGGAAACCAGTGATGTTTGTAGTGCTCTGTAAATGGGAAGAAGAAGTAGGCTGTAAGCAGACGTGCCACGGTTCTAAAAGAAAGGGGCTATCACAACACAGTCCCCCAGGGAGCCTCACACCTTGCTGGAGAAAGCCAGCAACTGAGAGACCCATCTCAATATACAAAGCCCTTTAAATTTTTCCATCTGCTCTCACGTTTTGAGGGAGGACTTTCCCAGCGCTAAGAAACGCCTTAGGGCTGGGATGCAAAGGTCTACGTGATCTTCCTAAATGATGGTTCCTCTCCTAGGATGAGGCAGCTGGCCAGCTTGCATCACAGCCCGCTTGGGGAAGTTCGGTACCGCACGCCTACCGCACAGCTGCGGAAACATGACGGCACCGTCACGCCACAGCGCAAGAGAGATCCAGCTCCTATTAAGGCAACGTCACCAGTTTAGCCCTGACAAACTCCAGAGTCAGCAGCTGTCCAGCCTGGGGACAACAAGAGGTTCCTTACTACAAAGGGGAACCAGGCAGCGTTTCACACAGCACGACTTCTAGAGAAGCAGGTTTGGCAACAAGTGGCCACCGTCTTTGATCGGAAAGAAAGCAACGCGCCCCCCAAGGCGGTGCAGTATAGTTAGCTTCCTAGTAAAGCCCTGAAACAAGCTACCCAGAGGGGCGGTGGACTCTCCATCCTCTTTTTAGACAAAGCCTTGGCTGGGATGATATAGTCGGGGCCGGTCCTGCTTGGGGCAGGGGCTGGAGTAGGTGCAGCCTCCCGAGGTCCCTTCCACCCTCATTTTCTACAGTTCTCCATCCCCGATTCAGAGAGGGGCGGACACAAAAGCAACGGAAGTATTCGGCATCCAAAGACTTTGGATCGGGCAGAGTCCAACAAAGCAGCAGTCGTGGCGCCAGCTGCCAAAACAAAGAGGCAGCTAGCACCCATGGGAGTCATCCCACCCAGAAACATGCACCCCACTCGTCCCATGCAGCCTCTCAGATTGCCACTTCCAAGGCTGCTTTTGCCCAAAACAGCTGAAGACAATGCAGGGGGAGGGGGGGCTTGGTGAACCCCCTGCCCCTTGGCAGGGCAGAGATGCTGCACCCCCCCACATACGCGGCACAAGGACGGGCACCCCTCAGGGGCTGCAATTCTCTTTTGTTAGACACTCAATAGTTGGGAAAGCAGCTCGGCGCAAGCTTTTGGGCGCAAGCAGGCACAGGGGAGAAGTGGGGTGGTGCCCGATAGCTTGCAAAGAACCATTCTCCCACCGATTTCCAGTAAGCGAGGCCACGTTTACACGCCTTGCACCTGCTTCCCAGCCCCCGCTCACCTGCGAGCGCCTCCTGCAAGGCCCCACTGAAAACCTGCAGCTGCTGCTCACTGACGCAGCCGCGAGTGCGGAGCAAGCTGGACACGAAGCCCACGGCGGCGGCGATCTCGGGCACCATCTCCGCCCGGCTGCTGCTGCCGCTCCCGTTCCAGCGCTGCATCTGGCTCCGGCGGTGCGCGGCCCCTTTAAGTCTCGGAGAGGGGAGAGAGGACACACGTGGATGCTCCGCTCGCCGCTGCGGCTTCTCTAGCTGGGCAGCCGCGCCGCCAGCCTTTAGTAGTCGCCCCGGGTGACGTCACCACCGCGGAGCGCGCCCATTGGCGGAGCCTGCCGGGTATGCTAATTTGGCGTGACTTCAGCCGGGTGGAAGGAGTG